AAGGTAAGCCTCCGTTTTAATTAGTTGCTATTAGAAATGAGTATTGTTTATTTTTAGGAGGATCAAGAACTCAGAGAGTTGAAGAAGAAGATCAAAAAAGATCGAAAGAGGGAGAAGAAGGAAAAGAAAAAGGCTAAAAAGGAGAAGAAGAAACTGAAGAAACTGTTGGAAAGCACTGATCGTGATGTGAATGCCGATTGGAAGGACCAGTCGAAATTGCTTGATAAACTTGTAAAGGTAGTTATTTTCGTATTGAGTTAAATTCTTCTTCTGGGATATAGTATCTTACAGTACCCACTTACTTGTTCAGGAAGATGATCTATACGGCCAAAATTCACACTTCAACTTTGGCAAAAAGACTGAAGCACCTGAAGAACCCACGCATAATCCTCGTCCTGATTTCGAGAAGGTATCCTTTTTTCTCTGTCTTCTTTTCTTTTTTCTTTCTTCCTCTCAGTATTTTGAATATTTGTCAACCATGGTTCCTGAAAGACAAGTCGTTTTTAGGCTGATTGGCGTGATATTGAAATATGGAAAGAGATTCGTGAACGTGAAAAAGCCGAACAAGCACCAAAGAAAGTCGATTGGAAGCCAGAAGAACACTATGTTTCAAGTCGATATCGTTAACATTTTATTTCCTCGTTCAGGTGTCTTTCAGCTGTTAAGCCTCTGTTTCCATGCAGCTTTGTACAGCGTGACATTACCCTAGATTGTCATCGCATGATATGAGCAGTTCCCTCGATGAACTAGGTGAAACTTTTATGAATTTTACTGGTTACTGGGCACCTGTGTGCTTTTGGAATTCATAACCCGTGGATAAAAGGTGCTCGAATAATTTCAATGGGAATGGGGTTCAAAAGACAGAGCAGGTCACTAGATTGAGTATGATTTTATACCTAATCTGATTGAGTAGGAAAAGTTAACAGCTGTATGTACATTGTTTACATAGGATTATGTTTTTCCTTTTTCTTTATAGCTGACAAGATATTGTACTTCAATGTTTAGGCGCTAGCTTCTTTACCGTGAAGTTTGCATTGAAGTATTCTTCATTTATCATTCCATCCAAACTGTTTATTTGTATGCTGAATGTCATGATTTCGCGGTATTTGTTTACTATTAATTGTTGAATGATTAGGAGTCCTATGGGTCCGAGTGCATTGTGTGTACATAACAATTTGATGCAGAATTAATAAAAGATGTCTTTGTTGTTGTTTACAAATACAAAGACAGGAGCAATACTAATGATCAGGAAAGAAATTGTCGAACCAGTAGGTATCCTGATTGCATCTGCAAGTAAATCGAAAG